GATCATATGTGAACTTGTGATAGGAAGTTTCGAAATTTCCTTGATTGTGATGTGATTGAAAGGGAGAAGGATCTATTTAAGCAATTCCCGAGTGATTGGGACTGCTCTTGGTATTTCGAACGTCTTCTTGAGACTTCCAAACTCACTTTTGCGGAACTGCGTTGAGTAACTGAGATGAAGTAGGCTCCTCCACTTCTCGAAAAAGTTCGAATCGCAACGACTCCAGGTTTCTGTATAGTGGGTCCAGTATTCCAAGAGAAAGCTGAAACTTATCAAAGGCAGGCCGTTGTGGAACGTGCGAAGGGCTCAATTCCCTCAAAAGTATCACCAAAGCCTTCCGATGAGATACTTTAGTACGACTGTTTCCAATTCACTCCGTAGCTCAAACAACTGGTAGAAAGCTTCAGTCAATCCCTCAACCTTGTGCGGCTATCGGTGATTGCACGTGGCGATCGATATGAGCGGATCCAATAGATTGCAAGCTTGGAATTCTAACATGGTGCAGGCAAAGAGAAAACCGGAATTTGCGAATTCTTAGAAGGCAGTAATTTTTCTTATCTAGGTGGACACAACAGTAATATGGAAGGCCTGTTCACCCAACTTGCATAGTTAATTTATCCATGGACCATCCTTGTTTCAATGGCTCCTTTTGCCACTGAACCGCCTTCCTGAGAGTGAAAATTTTAAACAGCTAAACCAGGTAGCAAGCAAAAGCAGTCGGACTAACCAGGTTGCAGTCCCATCTGACCGCCGATACAAGGTTGATTGGACAGCTGATCAAAGTATAAGGTACCAATGCGGTAATTTTTGAACGGTAGAGAGAGAACATTTCGAGTTCTGGATTGGCTTCGATAAATTATTGGCATCACAAAAACCTTCCAATGAGCTGGTATAGTCTTACTGCGACAGAAACTTGGAAAATTGAATTCAACGATAAATTCAAAACTCTGTTGTTTTGCCAATCTCTCGTTTCCATTCGTAAATAACGGAATGCAGCTGCCCATGGCAGCGAATCCGATCTTCTGAGGCCAAAAAGACCTGATCGGCGCGATCAAATGTAAACTTGTGATGAGGAATTTTATAGGTTTTAATTACTTCTGGTAAGTGAATATGATAGAGACCTCTGTATAGTAGGCCTGATCAGTGGGACTGCCCTTGGTTATTCAAGCCCCTTTTTTCTCTTACACTTTCAAATCTCATTTTGAGCGAATGCATTGTAAAACTGGGGCAAGAAGGCCTATCTCACAGGAAGAGGGTCCATTGTATGGCCACGGCTTCAGATTTCCTCATAACAGGTCCAGTGATCCAAGGAGGAGCTGAAATTTACCAAAGCCAGACTGATGTTGATCGTTCTCCAGCGAAAGGTACAGTTCCCGTTAACCTTTATGAAACTTTCCAGTGAATTCCTTCCCATTGGTACCGGATATCTTGCTGCAGTCCCCCATGCTTGTGCGGAAATGGCACGATAGGTCATCTTGGCGATCGATATGAGCGCATTCAATCGGTTGTATGTCCAGGATCCCAACATGGTGTGGCGTAAGAAAAAGCCTGGAATCATGATAAGTTGGCACAACGTTCTTCAGAGGAATTATTTTTTCTTTCCTAGAAAGATATGACACAATGAAGAATCAGGTGGAATGCCAATTCAGCTCCCGTAGCTATTTGATCCATAGACCATTCTTGTAACGAGGCCTTCTTTTGTTGCTACCCCACCTTGACCTGACTTTGTTGTAGGAATGGGAACTCTAAGCAGCTAAACAGACTGTCGGACCTAACAAGCCCTAATCCCATCGGACCGCCGATATCCGACGCAACGTTTACTATGGAGTAGGATTCAGCCTAGCGAAGAGCGTCGTACCTCATTTGTTCGTGGTAATTCTCCAATATGAAACATATTCACCAAGACCCAGCGACTACTCTACTAAGATGTTCAGTCATGTGCGAAAAGTTTGACTTCAGGGCATATCCCAACCCGGGCCGTTTTTCCGTGCACCATTTCCTCCCACTGTACTAAAGAAAACTTTAGCGACTGTGAAGAATGTGATTGTCTAAGAAAACCGGTGAAGAACCATTCAATAAATCAGAGGGCAGAACCTGAGATCTAATTTACTGGCTGCCTGAGTTGTATTGAATATCGCATATTCAGCGCGTTACCATTTCTAGAAGACTTGAAATCGGTCATTTCGGTGTGCGAATACAACAAATCTCTGTATGTGAGTACCCGTTGAGGTAATCTTTACCGGTGCCCTATAATGGAACTTTTTGAGATTTGGATCATCGTTGAACATGAATGTGAAGGAGACCTTGATGTTCTGCCAGACAGTGATTTCCTTTATGATTAGCAATATGCTGCTGGCAACGCTTTCGGTCACCTGAAAAAAGAGCAGTGATCAAATGTGGACTTATATAGGACTGTGGACTAGAATGTGGACTTATATTCAAAGAATTCCATCCATGTCGGTGTATGAATGTGAAAAAGACCCCTCTGGAGTAGTCTTTGGGCCGATGGGACTCTCCTTCATCCTCCGAACTTCTTTGCCTCTAAGAGTTCAATACCTTAATTTTGATGAAGAGCCCTGTGGAAGTGGGAAACACACTTTCTCTTTGAAGAAAGGCTCAATTAGTCAAAGCGGCTTCCGTTCTTCTCATGTAGGACCTAGTATTCCAAGGAGAAACTGAAATACATTCAAGGCAGACCTGTGTAGATTGTGGCCTTAGAAACTCTAGGAGGCCAACTCACTCAAGACTATCACAAAAGCCGTCCAGAATGCTTCTGGAATCTGACTGCTTCCGAATAGCTTCAGTGCCCATGCAATCGGTGCAAGCGCTGGAATCAGGTCCCCAACCGTTTGCGGTTATCGGGAGTGATTGAGACAATCGATATGAGTGCATTCAATCACATGTGCAAGATTTGACATGGCGCAAAGTAGGAAAAAGCCCAAATCGTGACAGTCGTGTGGGCGGTAGGAAAATGTCGTAATTAGTAGAGGGTTCTTAAGGAAAAGTAATTTCCTCCTTCATGAGGGCATAATAAAGTGAAGAATGATCGTCGAACCTGCAAAGCAATTTGATCCATCTTGAAATCTTGTGGCAAAGGCTCCTTTCGCTACTACTCCCCTCCCCCTCTAACCAGGCCTGCTTCTGCTTCTTACAAATGCGATTTGAAGTAGCTAAGCAAATTGTCAAACTCAACAAGCTACAATCCCATTTGAGCACCCATTTTGGGTGCAAGGTTGAGTGTGGAGTAAGATTCAGACTCGCGAAGAGCTTTGCAACACTTTTGTTCGTAATAAATCTCCAACATAGCAGCAGATCACTGCACCCACACGACGGCTTAACAAAGATGATGGGTAGCGTGCAAAAAAAATCTTTATCATAACCCAAACCAGACCTGGTTTTCACCAATTGCACCATTCCAGTCCATTAGACCACTGAGAACCGATGAGTCCTCCATAAATTTTCAGCTTGCAAAAATGGGAATGAGTCCAGAGAAGGAAGTGAAGAACCCTACAGTGAACTGAAGGGCAAAACCTTTTGAGATCGGATATACTGGGCCAAAAGGCTGATCTGCTTTGGTTATCGCTTTCTCAATGCATTGCCTTTTTTAAAAGTCTCGAATCAGCAACTTTGGGTGGTGAAAGCAACAAATTTCAGTACTAGAGTATTCATTGTGATTCTAGTGATGCCCTATAATAGAACTTTTTTGAAATCTGGACCATCTTCGGTATATGGTTGTGAAGGAGACTTCACCGTTTTGTCAACCGCTCGTTTCCATCTCTGATTAACGGGGTGGAGCTGCCGATAGCAGTGCCTTCGATCAATTGAGATCAAAGTTGATGATCGGCACGATCAAATGTGGACTTGTGATACGGTTTTCAAAAATTTTGTTTTCAAGGGGATAGTTTTTTTCATCTTTTTTGGTTTGTGATTGTGGATGGCGACCATTATAGAGTAGGCTCGGATCGATGTGACTGTCCTTGGTATTTCGGACTAGTTTTTCTCTTGAAAATTTCGAACCTTTCTTGTGTTGAAGTGTGTTGTGAAATCGAAATTTTAAACGGAGATTTTAAACTTCCATTTTTGCCAACCACTCATTTCATTTTCTGTTTAACGGGAAAGAGGTGGTGAAGGCAGCGCCTTCGATCACTCAAAGTCAGACGAAACTGACGGAGGCGGTAAAATGTAAACTATTGATGAGAATTTTCTGAGATTTTCATCAGTTCTGGCATAAGTATATGAAAAAGGCCTCTTCAAAGTAGTTTCCATACCGATGGGACGATCCTTGGTCATTTGCACTTTTTATTGTCTTGAATGTTTCAAGCCTTGCTTTTGGCGAAATGTGTTACCAAACTGGACAATGAAGGCCTATTTTTCAAAAAAAGGGTTCATTTAGTCATGACGACTTTTGTTTTCCTGATGCAAGGTCCAGTAACCAGAAAAGAAGCTGAAAACTACTCAAGGAAGGGCAGTGTGGATTATGGCTTTACGAAGAGCTCAACTCCCTCCAAGCTACCACAAAAGCCTTCCATAATGCTTCTCGAACCTGACTGCTTCAAATTACTCCGATGCCAGAGCGATCGGGACAACTGGCTGCAATCAGGCCCTCAGCTTGGGGGTGGGGGAAGAGGGGTTATCGAGTGATCGCGCAATGCGCTGATCGGTTTGAGCACATTCAATCGTATGTTCGTCCGCGATCCCACCATGGTGAGCATATGCTAAAATCCGAAGTATTGATTAGTAAGTACAAGTTTTGGAGTTTTTGGGAGGACGCTTAAACACAGCACAGTGAAAGTGAGATGGAAATATCAGTCATCCTGCATAGCTGTTTGATCTGTGGATTATTCCCGCGGTAGGGAGTTCGTCTCCTCTTGCCCATACCCACTTTTAGCCTTATCTGCTTTGGTATGTCCAGAATTCTATTAATCCAATACAGTCCTCAGAGTCCTAATTTTGTCTATTCCTACTGATCTCAGGAGTTCTTCTTGCTACCAAGCTTAATCATGAAGTACAACATTAGATTTATGAAAAATTTCTTGCTTCAAGGATTGCGTCTGATGGTGTTCGTGAACTCTTCTGACTATCTCCCCACTACCGAAGCTGCTGGAGTTCGTATCACAATTCACAGTCAACGGGAATGTCCCTTTCCGGACACGTTCGGATATTCGGCTCCAACGGGAGCCATTTCGTCTTTCGGTATTTCACTTGTAAGGGAATCGATAAAACTTCCAGGCAGTTCTCTGATATAATGACTGTTGTTGCAGAGGAAAGTAACTCGATTACCGAATGGTGGCTGTTTTAATTCCGAAAATCCTCTACCACTCGGTTATATTTATAGGGACTACTCGTATGAACCTGAGGTAAGTACTATTTATATTTATTTTTTCATTTTCCGAGGCGAGGTTCTTTTTATTCAGGGTTGCTACCGTAACTGTTATCAAAAACGGATTATCAGCCAGTGCAAATGCGCCGATCCTCGATTTCCGAAGCCGTCGGATAATATCGATTACTGTGATATTCGAAACGAGGCTATAAGTTAGTTCTATTCTCTATTTTTTATGTAGCGCCTAGATCGTTCTGACATCGGATCGGAAGTCGCGAGCGACATTTCGCGCGACGAGACAACTACATAGCGAATTGAGAATCCGTCTACCCCGCACTACTCCACACCCAGATGAGAACGCTTCGATCTCATGGTTTTCTAGGGTGATTGGTCCGTCAAACTTGTGAACGGATTTCTGAAATGAGAATCATTCTCCATCAATGTGAGCCTGATGAAAAGGAGAGGCCCAGCAGTGGACATGGTACAATATCCCGGGGCTTTCCCCACACTGAGCTTAGAAAGCACGCATATACTCGTATTGAGGTTCTACGGGAAGGAAAGTGTAATGAGCATTCCGATGTAATTTTAAAAGCATTTTTCAATTAACATTTTTACTTCTTGTTTTGTGTTATGTTGTGTATATTAATTTCACCTTATTTATTTATTATTTCGGAATCTAATTCAGGGGACTGCTTAACGGCTGAGAGCATCCGCATGACCAAACGGAAATCATGCAGATGTACTCATGCTTGTCAACAAGACGTGTATACTACCACATACTCAGCGGCTAAATGGCCATCTGGAAGTACACGGCTGGAATGTAGCGAGAAAGACTGCACTCAATATTACAAGTAAGTATAGATAGCCTTGTAATTGTAAAATAAATGATTTCGACGAGATTAACGCTCATTTTCGTTTTTTTTTCCCTGCTATTTCATGAATTTGTTATCAGGGAATCCGGAGTTGCGGGAGAAGTTCCGCCACCCCATGAGCTAGCATGTTTATGTGGTAAACAAATGTCTAAAGTTTTAGAATTAATCATTCCCGTCTGAGGGATGCGCCCACGCATTCGGCTTCCATTTAAAATCGTAGTCGATTTGAATTCGTGTGTGGCCTTTACACAGACTTGCGAGGGCCAGCCAATGTACCAATCAGTGCTCTTATCTTTCCAAACGAATCTGTTATCAATTAACCGAGGGATGGAAGGCTTGGTCTTGGTTAGCCTAGGCGGATTTCGATCCGGGATTCGAACCCGTGGCCATGCCTGTGTAATAGTGCGCCACTTTCCATTGAACCACCTCCGCCCGAGTAGTTGCGAAATAATTTTTTTTTCAAATAGAAATTTGTTGTTAGCAGATTTATGTAATTTGACGTTATTCGCTTCGCATTTCGAGAAAAGATCGCGTAGCGGAAATTTCCGTTTCACATTTGTGGTATAAGTAGCGTTCAGAAATCCATCTCGATGTGATTTCTAGGAAAGCTACACCACCTACACCACCTCCACCCTTTTATGTGGTAATAGTTAGAGAATGTCGCAGAAACTTGTTTGGGATCCAAAGGTTCTCGGTAGTTCGATGGACCGAAATGGCATACAGAAAACCAAGTTCGGGTTCGGGTTCTCCCGATGTCCAATTTTTTGCATTTCACTGAAAATTTCTGTGAAGTCGTGGTGTTTTAGTGAGCATGCTGCCATGTTGGAGATATACTACGAACAAATGAGTTACGAAGTTCTTCGCGAGTCCGAATCCTATTCCATAGTCAACCTCGTGTCAGATATCGGCGGTCAGATGGGATTGTGGCTCGGTAAGCGTTCCAGTTCGTCAAGTATAAACTCCCAAAAATTTTGGAAGATGAGATGTTCAGGTGCTTCTGTTCTGACGGCTATCGAGATCGTCATCTTCCTTTTCAACATCGTCACGATTGCCATCACCGGACGGCTTCGATCCACGGATTCCCCTACAAAAGAAAAACAGGCAGATGAGCCGACGAAAACAGTGGATGATCCTAAAAGTCCTTCGAAAAAAGAAGGCTACGATTCTCACTAAAAAGTGCTGTTGTTATTAGGTAGTAATGTAAAGTTATGATATGATCACTTCGTTATTGGTGATGATTGATCGTGATTTTGATCTCATTTTTGCCTGCTCCGCGTTCTCTCTGACGCTACTTCATTATGTGAGTTTCTCTGTTACGAGTATTGTTGTATTTAAATTAATCATAATTTTGGGTTTTTGTATAAATATGTTATACTTACCTATACATATCAAGGCCGTTCAATATTTATCTTCTATCTTTTTTTGAACCACTCAAAAACAGTTTCAATGCGGGATATTTGTGTTGGGACCTAATGACAACTTGCCATCTCTATTCAAAAAATCCTTTGAATCTTTGAAATGCTCGGTTCTGTCTTGCCGGAGTAGATTTTTGAGTGGGAAAGGAGAAGGCGCAATACCTACCGTTTCTCCTGTGATGCGCCGTGCATTTGGTTTCCGTTAGCATGCATAGAGCCTTTGAAACATGTTCATAACACTTTTGACACATTAGACTTATGTGGGCAGAACGTTTGAGGACGTGCACGCTGGGGTTGCTGCTCCGATCCCAACTAATGCTGGAACTGCTGGAGAGACATTGATTGCAATAGACTTTTCTTCCTTTACGTTTCTCCACTACTTCTGATGTCCGAGATAACCTTAACACGCCGTATTAAAAATTACTTCAGTACTGGTAGTAGAGCGTAGTGCAAAAGTCCTTCAAGCAGAATGTGTAAGTTCATAGATATGTAGGATAATGGCTTTTGGTTGGTCGAAAATGCACAACCAAACTCCGCTATTCGTGCTAGGCACAGTTCGGAACGACGTTGTCCTGAAAGTCGCAGACCTACTGCCATACCTATTGGAGCTGGATGTAACTGAAGAGGCGTGGTCAAAAATCGGTGTGAACAGAAGGGATTACTGCGATATGAGCTGCATGTACTTATTTTTTTCTTTTACTCGATTGCGCCCTATTCTTGGGTCTTTCGATATGCACTCTTCCTCCACTTGAATCAAGGCGGCTTTTTGATAGCTCCTTAAAAATGAAACATGAAGCATGGTTTGTAGTAAACAACCGACGTAGTAAATGACTTCTAACCCCCTATGAGTGTAGCACCAGTTTTAACAAGCGGATTTTTTTTTTGTCAAGTCGAGACTCGATCCGAGACTTGGCCATGTCCATGCGAGCGACAACATCGCCCCTTGCCTCCTTCTCATCACCTGCATGCCCTGTTCGAACACACGTATTTTTTACACAAAAATAGATTGTGAATGCATTTTCTTGCCTTTCTGATAGTTCGATTCTAAATTAGGAAGAATGGAAATCTGAACTCGAACTTAGTAAACCTGAAACTGGTAAGTTTTTTGGGTAAAAGGCGAAGGTTTTTGAGCTAAGTTCTACTAATTAGAGCTGGAATGTGATTATAGAAATTGCCGGAAATAAAGGGAAGGATGATAGAGCATTATTGAAGCAAATGATTCGGTTATTGATTGAATCGACTGATTTTCGTGGACACATGTCATTGAGCCTAAGCGTTCCTGAACTCTGGAAAGACTTCGGTTTACTAACTCTGTTGAATCTCATTTACCTCAGGACCAAGCAGCCCTTCCTTTCCTGAGAACGTGTTGGTTTCTTTCCGTTGTTTAAGTCTCTATGATTCCTAGTTGCTATTTAATTACTCTACTATTTACTTTTTTAATCCTTAATTTTTATTTTTACATTTCATTTATACCTGTACGCAGTAACTGTACACAAATTACAGGCCGGTTTACAACATAGTTGGATTCAAGTAACTTTAAACCTTGCCTGTTCGAACAACCAAAAACTACCTTGGTCCTTTAGCAGTACCCCCAAACAAGCATTGCCTATGACTTGAAGCTCTCCTGTAATACCTTTCAATTGAAACAACCAAGTTTGTTTGGGGCGAGATATGGCTGAAGTAGAACTTTGCTATGAGTGCATTAATTATATTTTTCTATTGAGTTTTATTCAAAAATAAAAAATCATTCAAATTCCTCGTGCTATCATCTACAATAACATAGAGTATCTTCTTTCTATGGATCACTCTGTAACTTACGAAAATTCGATGAATTTTCTCGCGTATGTATTGAGTTTCGATTTTAAAGGGCGCACTTTGCTCCATTGCGTGCCCTAGCTACCGTTGTTTCCATGACACGTTGATTTTGCGATAAAGATGGTACTGTGCTCTGCTGTAACTGGTTTTTGACAAAGTAGTTTTTCCGATGTGAAAGGCTCACAAGTTCCACTTGTTTTTCGTCCGGTCTTTCCAATGAGGGGCTTCCTTTTTTGCTACCATTTTAAGGAGTTTCGGTCTCCCATCGTTGCTGACGTTTTTTTATTGGTTTTTGATTTTTAGTGAAGTAAACAAGTTGATACCCTTCAGGTAGCATGAGGCCAATTGTCTTTCTAGTCTTAACTTTTACTACGGCTTGTGCTGTCTCCCTGAACACATACTGGGATGATAGTGACACGAAACGATTGTCGAAGGTCCTTGAGGTAAAGTTTTCAGAGTAACTTAGCTTGAAATTGTTACTTTTATAATTGGCCATGTTTACAGAATGTACTCGTAACTAAAAAAGACAACATCGCTGCTCTTCACTTTGCGGCCAGCGGCTTGAAACTCCTCAATGTTGCTCCACCAGCAGATAAAGCCAAAGTTTGTGGAACTGTTTTTGTCCCTGCTTGTTTTCTTTGGGCTTATTTTGATTTGTTTACTTGCCAGGAAGTTTTCTTGGTTGAACTTCAGGGATAAGCTTCCCTCACCTTTTTGTACTGTAAGAGTTAGTTTGCACTATTTTTCAGGGCCATTATTTCCAGGCTGCTTGTGAGATCGCTAAGAAAGCTGACCTCACGAAGCTTGATGTGCTCTACCATGCCTCTGCCCTCTCTGGCGACCTAACAGATTGTGCTCTAACTGGTATTGCAGAGGCACAAGTAAGTGTACCAGACATTTTGCCTTCTCGTAAGTCTTGAAAACATTTAAGCTTCTATAGAAAACGATCGAAGCCGTGCTTACCGCGCCTAACCCTAACGGCGAACGCATCACTCAAGCGCTGCGTAGCGCCGATCGTTTGAATATCAAGGTGGGGTTTTCTGTGTTATTCAGACGATTATTTTTCACTTTCTCCCTCTGCGTTATAGTACGATTAGCTCTTTCTGTCAGGTGGACAAAGCTGCTTTCGACAAGCTTCTCGCTACTACACTGAAAGACGATTCGCCAAACAAGTAAGCCATAACTTCTAGCCTTCCCTTCTAAGGAAACCATGTTACCTGATTCTCCAACTAATTTAATATCAACGTGTTCGTTCTGCTTTTAGTCTCGCTTGGGTATTCAATGCTGCAGCCCTGTTAGACAAAGCCCAGGGAGCCAAATATTTCGACAAAATCAAGAACCTGGTGTCCCAAGCGGATGAAGTTGACGGACGTTTCCTGCAGGTGAATTCCACGTTATTAGATTCCTATGTACCTTATTCATTCATTTTAAGTTTGATGGTGGTCTAACAACGACATCAAACGCTATTCATGGAATAATGTCGTTAGCCGAGCAACAAGGAAAGGTCCCAGCTGTTTCGAAAGTGTGTCCTTCGAATTTGTTGCATAAAACCTATTCGTCATCATCATTTTAGATTCATATCAATCTTTAGGATCAACTCTTACTGTTTACTAATTATCTTCTATCTCGAAAACACGTTTCTACTGAAAAGGCTGCATTCCACTTGCTCAGCGCCCTTGGAGTCCTTGTGAATAATCATCAGCTTGTGCCAGTTGTTGCTGCTCGACTAGGGCCTGTGATGATTCACCGCATGAAGGTAAGCCTTTTGAGGGTTTGGAAACGTTCTTTGTCAGAGCTAATTGACAATTTTCTGTAGCCAATCGTCATTGCTGTTTGCAACGTGTTTGGCTTACCTATTACCGTGTCGGGTGTCCGGGTTGATATCACACCGGAAGGAGGGTCTTCACCTGTTATGGGTAACTTGCCGCTTACACCCTCTCAGGCGTACGTTTCATTTTTAGGATTATATATCGATGATATTGATCGATACATATTGCTTTAGATTACCAATACTCTTTTCATTTGGTCCTGATAAGATGCCCGATTCACCTGGCTTCTACACCGTTAATGTGAAAGCTGAATCCCAGGTAGGTATATCTACGATTCTGTAACCGATTACAATCATTTTGTTTTCTTTAGGACAAGAGACTTGTTGGACTAACCAGTTCGAGCATAACTTTGAAGTTATCCGATGAAGTGATGATAGAGGATTTCAAAGTTGGTGCCCTTGAAAAAGATGATGTCGTCAGCGGCGCCAACCTAGCTAGGTTTGTAAGTCAATTTCCTTCGAACAATTAGTTTTGCTGGCAGTCATTGCATTTGTTTTTGTTTCCTTCTCATTTTTGTTAAGTTTTGCTTTTTGTTTCAAATGAATTCCACTTCCCACAGATGATGGAGCTTTTGGCCTGCTTGCAAAAGGTCAAGGGGTCTACTAGTCGTGGCTCTTTTTCAATTGTTTTGAAGATGTGTTATCCCACCGAACTGTAAATGCGCGGTATACCGCTTCAGTTGTGGAAGGAAACCATCATGGGTAACAGTTAGCGGATAGATAACGGATGCAACGTCACAAACCTCCGCAGCAACATTACTGTTCATCTTCTGTTTATTTCTTAAAATTTGTCACTCTTACTTCTTTGTTTTGTCTATGTGATTTGTTTTGTTTTATATTTCTTATTTCACTAAATTACGACAACAGTTAAGGTAGTGTTTGTTCGTATTGCAGTGTTGCACAGTTCTCGAAGTATGGAAAGGTACTTTCGGCCGACAGTACCAAACGGTTGTACATGTCGTTCTCGGTCAAAAGCAAGGTTTCGAATCGTTTGGTCCAACCCCATCAAGTTTGTTTATTTTCGTTGTTTTTCTTTCTGTAAATTTCAATATATGAGTCATATCACTTCAGGCATTCATTCTATTCAAGCATGTCAATGGTGCCGAAGTTTTCTACACAGCTGATGTGCAAACTGGAGGGAAATACCTTGTTGATATAGTAAGTTTTCTTGTTTACGTTTTTGTTTATTTTTAACAGGAATATTGAAGCTAAGTAGAATCGCAGCTAGAATGATCAAAGTGACTGATTTTGATAGTTTTTATTAACTAGTAGTGAATGGGTCTGCATCATCAGTCGGCAACGGCATTATTTACTTTATTTTTCTGCATTCAATTGTTTTAGAACCTTGCCAAAGCTCACAAAGATTTCGAGGGTATATCTGGAAAGTATACAGCATACCTTGTCATTGGTGATGCTACCATAAAGACTCCAATAAACTGGCCTTTTGTGAGTAACTTGGTCATTAAATTCACTTTATTTTTTATTAATGTAAGCGATATCGTTCCCACTTGCATAACTCGTTTAGGCGGACTTTGTGCTCTCTCTTCCACCTGCTCCTGTAGAGGTCGTACCCAAGTCCCAGCGTATCAATTATGATAAGCTGCCAGAAATTAAGCATATCTTCCGTCAACCTGAAAAGAGGCCATCCACTGTTGTTTCCGATGCTTTCACACTGATTTGCTTGGCTCCGCTGTTGCTTCTGTTTGTGTTGGTAAGTTATTTAACGGATTCTAACATGTTATGAGCTCTGCTTCGAACAAGTTCCCATCTTCAGTGGCTGCGTATTGGATTGAACTTCGGTAATATGCCGCTCAACGTTTGGACCCTGATCTTCCACGGAAGTCTTGCAGGTCAGTTCTGAAGTTTTGGTGATCTTCGTGCTTCTTATTATTGGCATTCCACAAATTGGTGAATTTTCTCTTTACAATATCTGTATTTTAGCACTATTTGCCTTGTATTTCGTGTTCTGGCTCCAGCTGAACATGTTTGAGACGCTGAAATATCTGGCTGTGGTCGGTGGCCTAACCTACCTCGCCGGTAATCGCGTCCTGAGGGCAATCGCAAATAAGAGGAAGTCAGTACAAAAATAGAATTGTAAATATAGTCAATAAAGCGAATGTAAATCATATAAAACATAGTTGCAGGAGCAAGGCCGAGTAAACTGATAACTGCCAAGGAGGATGCGAACGCACAAAGTGGATCTAGCCTTATAACTATGCCGGTTTACAAAGATAACATTACAAAAATGAATTCCAACCAGGACATATTCAATACAAATGGCTTTCGTAGAATGCTCCTATGCTTCGTAATTAGGAACGACTCAATATTGTTAAGGACCAACGTAATTTTTCCGTGTTGTTTGCTATCCTCAGTAAATGTTCAGGAGAAGAGTTCTATTCATTCACATGTTAAAGTCTGTTGACACTGTTTTTTTCGACAGTGATAATGGCTTTTCTGTTAGGGTTGTAGCACATGTATCTGTGTTGAATTCTTCGGGATTTATCGCTTGAATTCTATTACGTGTGTTTTTGAAGATACCCCATGGCTTTTTTTGTAGCAGTATATTTATTTAAGTATGTTGTTTCTTGTTTTGTTGATATCATGTTTTACGGTCCATAAATTATTGTTGCTTTAAGGTTTCGAATTGTTTGCAACTAAGGGTTGAAAGCTCATGGCCAAATATTTTCATTTAACAAAATTACACTTTTTATGTTTTTACCTGAGTTTGGCTTTGAAGGATGTCTTTGACGAAAAACCTGAAAAGTCTGACCTCAGTTGGGCCCCGTGCCGTAATAACTTGGGATAAGGTAAGATATGTTCCAGATTGTTTTTCTGAGCAAAAATTTTAAACTTTCAATGCATTGTAAACTATAAACTGAAATGTTTACAAGTTCGGCTGGAAGTCGTGCTTATTCATTGATAGCCATGCAAATTTTAAAATAAGCAAGGGAGTTAGTGCTGAAACCTTGTTTAACAGCAGCCCTTGAAGTATGAAAGATATTAGGATGCTGTAATCTATTATATAAATAAATTTTTCTTATCTATCACGGGAGTGATGAGCTAAGCCGCCAACTTAAGCAATCTCAGCTTCTGCAGGAAATACTGACATTATTACTGGAACTCAGACTCATGTCTGACTTGTTTATGTTTGTCTTCATGATTTTATTTACTACTCGCTCTTGAGTGTTGGATTCTTTTTGTATAGCTTCCTTATCATACTAGTAACTCATGAACTGAGTTGGTAGTATTACTTTCAAGAGCGGTTTTAGCAGACCTCGACTATGTTATTTTCATTTGATTATAAAAAAAAGTACTTTGAATCGGTGGAGCTGGCAGCTGTACATACAATACCGTAAGCTAGGGGTTGTTTTCCTTTTGTTTTATTAAGTTTTGTTATTTTGTACCGCTACAGGTCGTTTGTTCAGGCCGAGCGAATACGCCGGAATGAAGAAATCTGGGCGAATCCCGATTCAATAGTGCATCGCTTACCAGAACATTACTGTAAACGATATTGGGATAATTTATTGCGTGATGCTACACCTGTGCATTATAGGTATGATGATTTGCTATTTTTTTTTACTGAAAGTGGTAATCAAGGCCTGTTAGTATATTTCGTGGTGTTTAAAACGCACAGGGTCACAGTCACAAAGATTGATGTTGATGTGTTTATGGTCAACTGGGCTAATGTGGTTCTTCTTTTGCGTCTCCCTAACATCTCACTGTGCCCGCCGCTCTTGTTAGTAGTTGTCGTCACTCCCTCTGGTTAGGGTATCGTCTGTGATGAGCATGGTCTTGGAAAGTGCTCGTTGGTCACATCCCCTCATCTCTTTTTTTTAGAGCCTCCTCGTCTCTCCTTCGGTCCACTCGATTTCCAAACTTCATCGCTTCTACCATCGCAGGCGCTCTTCACAGACCGCCAGAGGTACAGGAGATATTTTGAAGGGCTGGTTTAGCGTCTTCGCTCTTGATCCTGTCCAATCGTGTCCAACCATCATTCCTGCGGCGAAATAAGCTTCATACCTGTGTTGAGTCAGATGGCGTCTTCAGAGTAGTTTCGTCGCTGTTCTTTACGGCCTTCACTACTTCAATGTCTTGATTAACCCAATATCAGGCTTTGGCTAGTTGGAAGGGGAAATCTCTCCTTTTTCGAATTTTCAGTACAACACATCCAATTCCATGCTCATTTCCTTCGCTACAGCTTCCTTGATGAGCCTCTTGCAACCTTCATAGACCTCTAGATCGTCCAGAGCTCATCCCTTCGCCAGTGGTTATGTTCTTCTTTCTTCTGCTTCACCACTCGTTGAATTTAATTGATGCAGAACTGTACTACTTTGCCTTCTCTGAATCTACCCCTCGTTACACTAAGCGTTTTTTTTTTACGCAATGTGTGATAACCTCCACTGGGTTGTGCCAGGTTTGCGTGGTGGTCCTTGAAGATTTTGCTTCTGCATCCGCTCATTCCGTAAACATTGCACGATGGTTAAGGGTTAAAAGCCTATTGAGGAGACGAAACATGCTGTGATGTGAAGGTGTTGGCATTTAAACATAAAAAAATTGGTCCAGCGGCGAAGGGAAACAAAAGAGCTGCGCGTGGAGCAAAAGGGGACCTCGAATATGGTATAAAGGACGCAACTTGAAGGAACTTTGTCTTGTTATTTGTTTTTTATCCAACAAGTCAATTCGAAGTTCGTCGGGACCAAATTCGAGTATTGTTTGAATGCGTTGGAATCGAGGAAAGGGAAGGTGGTCTTCAATGTTGACAAAGTTGGGTCAAGCTTCGCCGTCCAGCGGAGCTTCGACAGCTAGGTCATTAGGAGCTGCTTCAGGGTGCTATGTCGTTGGCCATAACTAATAAAATCCTCACCCTCTTTATTTCTGTATATTCCCTACCACCGTGATCCCTCGTCACACCCCCATCGTTCACGGCGAATGATACCCTCTACGGTGAGATAATTCCTGTTCTTGATGGCATCGCGAAGAACACGGGCATTTGGCCTGTGGTACATACATGCTTATAATTGTTCCCTACCCTCTTTCTTGTTTATGCTCACGCCATGATTCGATTGCTGATCTTGTTGACAGCAGAGACAGAGTCCTTGATAGATTGCGCCCGTGTGATTGTAATATGCCTTTGTTTACTGCTGTTTTCATGCTTTTTCAGGCCTCCTACTTCTCGGCTGTACTGGGATCCTGTGCGAAAGGTGGAGGTGGAAGCGGAAAATTTTCCTTTGTATGGTAGGTTTTCAAGTTTCACTGCACTCCTGATGGATGTTGTCCAGGTGCTTTGTAGTTCCTTAGTTATCATTGGTAAAAACTTGTTTCCAGTTATTTATCCACCCGAGGCTGATAAGGGCTTATGGGGAGGGGAAGGTGTCGTGAAAGGATGGAAGGAATCCCGTCCGTATACGAAAAAGAAGATTCTGCCAAGGTAAATATTCATTTTTTGTGTAGTTTTTGTATCCAAATTTACAACCCTCTGCATGCTCCTTTCAGGCATTGGGTTCCTCATCTTTACTTTCCTGCTCTTAGGAGCTACGTGCTTTATTCAGAAATTCTCGATAAACATTTAAAGGTGAGTTGCCTCTGAAATTTGCTTCGAAACTTGTTGCTAGGAAACCAAAGGCATGTGTACCTCCTTTTTGTTTGTGCTTTCATCCGTCTCCTTAGAAATATTTAACGAGCCAAATTTCTAGTCGCAACCCGAGGGGTCCCAGCGTGGAACACCTATTGTTTGCTTTTTTCTATAACGACAACTCACAAATTTCTCCACTTATATTTATTTATTTCTTTAATAACGGGCATGCTGTAAGCATGTGGATTGACGGATAATAACAGGACCATTGAAGAAAGGATTTGAGGGATAATAACAGGGCCATTGAAGAAAGAATGGAGAGCAAACAACAAGAAGGTCTTGTATTCACGAAAATTAAGAAGGGTTGTTCAAGGCGTGAAAAATGTTTTTGAAAATAGTGTGTCATGCTTTTTGGTACTTCCATCTAATACGAAAGATTAACACTCCACGTATATTGACAAATATTTTCTCAGTGTGTAAAGAAGTGTTTGAAATTCCGTATATGCTGGAGAGGCTTCACTTGTTAGTGAATCGTTAAAAGACTTTTTTCCACCCTTCCCATTTTCTCTTTTATTACACAGTTCCTAATACATATGGTTACGGTAGTCTCGAAGTTTGTAATGAGGTTTCCATAAAGTGACTTGTTGTAAGGGCAGTGATGAATAAATCCATTGCTAGCTTTGGTATGGTGGCTGAGTTACTTAGTATAGGCGAGAAGTGGATAAGTTTAGTAGTTTTGCGTAGGTTAACCTTTTTTCTTTTGACCATCACTTGATAGGAGCTTTTACTCAGTATTAAGTTACCTGTTTTTCAGGTGACTGTTACGGAACGGGCTCTACGATTGATCGATGAAAACTTTGGGCTTGACTACTATATATTGCGTACTCCTGAAATTGATCTCGCATCGAAGTTAGGAAACAGGCTGGTATCCATGATGCCATTAAAGGGTGTGTTATAATCAGTATATCATTTAATCTCAGGTTGAAACGAGAAATGCTTTTAACCCTTGCAAAAGAGACATATTATCCAGAGGATGAGGAACGTCACAACTATATCAAACAAAAGTAAGTAATTTCTTTAAAGTGTTGATATGTTTGAAGCATCTACGCCTGGTATAGGTATAAGGAATTTGTTATTCCTGCCGAAGAAGCAGACTGGGTCGGATTGGATTTGAATGAAGCGGCCCGCAAACAGCAGGAAATCGAGGAGTCACAAGTACCGGAGCCTTTGAAGTACAAGTGAGTTGTGGCCGAGTTTCTTTTTACGAAAACCCTCTTACTTTGGTTTTTGTTAGCTTTCTTCTGGTAAAGAGACCCGGATTACTTGAACTCGAGTCTTTTCTAAGTGGTAGAATGAAAGATAGTGAAAGATACTTGCACAAGATTGGGTTCTCATTGAGTAGGGGATGTCTTTATTATGAATGGGAATCTACGTTTTTACATAGATAGAGGTGAATGGTCGAGTTTTTGTTAGAAAAGTGGTGATGGTTGCTGATTTGTCGCCGTTTCCGGTAATCCAATGAATGGCAGGGTTTTGAAAGGATTTCGTGCAGGTGTCTAACTTTTATGGTGCCTGTTATGAATGCTCAACTAAAAAGCATGATACACCTGCTTTCTCAAATTTTCGCTGGCATCTGATTCTCTGAAACCTTTCCTTTCCCCAGTACCGCTATGTTTTTTGCTCTACAAAAATCAAAGTCCACAATTTTTTCTCCTCCTAGCTAACTCAGTGGTTTCTTGATAGTGTTCACTGCAACTAGGATCATTTGTATGGTGAGGGTTTTTTATTCCTCAGACTTCCACGTGGTCCTTTTTCGCTCTATCCCTCTCTGCCTTTCTCAAACGTTCTGAGGCGGGGGATGGGGAAAAAGTACATTGAACCCTACGTCGCCTTGGAATTTGCGAGTTTCCGTGAAATTTCTAATGATATTTCACCTTCGAATAATTTGAACCTAAATTTAACAAGGCGAATCTACTGGTAATGGTTCGTAGTTCAATGTTCCGCCCGTTTCTATAGTATCGTGAGGGTAATTGAACAATGTTTCAGATTTGAAAGAGAGTTAATTGCTCGGCTACGAGCTGGTAAAGATTTGATCGCCAATGAAGAAGAGTTTGCACCAAAGACTGAAGAAAGTAAATTTGGTGAACGTCTTCTCGGAAAGTATCTCAATCCAGTAGCTAGGCGATTTAGACGGTAGAATACTGTATTTTCGATAGTAACCGTTAGTTCCCTCCGAATTTTTGACTTTTGTGATCAAACTAGATTTTCTAGTTCCGGAACGAGACGGTATATTTAATAATAGTGCCTACCTTGATAGTTTTGTAAATATGTATGGTAATGGCTGTTCGGTAGAATCGATAGATAGGAGTCTTTTTTGATCTTTTTCTTGCTTTGTTCCTGAATTATTGTTGATTGTTTAAAGTGTTCAATATATGTTGTTACAATACTTGATCTGATTGTTTGAAAATGTATAATCTTTTGAATATCGCTATTTTGACCGAGATTTAATTACAACGTGATTAAGTACGAAATTCTAATAAATAGTAGTGTCTTCGCGTCCCACTCCACGTTGATGCTGTTGCGAAGAGGCATCATTATTGAACGTTACGCGAGTATGGCTGTAAGGCAAGTTGCAACTGGTAATCAGCATTTTGCTGTACGAGCAGGGCTGAGTAAAAATCCTGAGAAGGTAAGTGATATTAGTCAAGCCAATAGATCCCATATTTGGTGTAAGAACGTTACCGTACCCTCGAAAATTTGGCAGACTGAGGGGCTCTTTTTTTTTGGAAATAGCCCGTGGTCGGCTGTTTGTGCCATCTTTGCCTGCTTCACACCT